AGGCACAAGTTAAAAAAAAAAAAAAAAAAAAAAAAAAAGGGAAAGAAAGAAAAGCCCCATCTTGTGCGTAATCTACAAGATTTGTTTGATTCTTAGTTGAAGAAAAGCTCAAAAGTGGTACATGAAGTGACGGTTGGCACATAGATTTCTTGAAGGATGACAAGCAACATAGAACCTGCCGTTCATCCTAATTCCAAATTTGTTTTTTCATTAGACATTATTTTATATAGAACAAAAAAAAAAAATCATGTGGCAAATTCATTGGGACGAAGAATATTAAGAATAATTTCCACCCCAACAATTTTAAGTGGGAGACAATTAATCTGCTAGATTAACTGTATATTAATTAATTTTGCATTTTGGTCTTTGGCCATTGCTATTTAGGTACATAAATACCTTCAACATGACAAAGAAAATGATGGAAAATGTGTCAAAAATGTTGAAATGGGTTGGTGGCTGCATGCGACGGACGGAAGACGTAAGAATGAAATTTCTTATCTTTTTCAAAATCTTCATTATTTAGGGAAAAGTCTCAAAGTTTCTGTTGAAATATGGAAGACAAAATTGTTGATTTAATTTCTACTGTATATTTTGCTTTTGTTTGGTGACGTGACTTGGGATTAATATGTTGGAGTATTGAAATTAATTAAGATTGAATTATTTTGATGGGTTTTTTTTGATAAAAATAGAGCATATTAATCCATTTTAAGACATTAATTAAAAAGGTATCTTAAATTATACTACTAATTTTTTGTTTTCATTTTCTTTGTTTATCATGGAATACATATAGGAAAATTAATGTTAAGAAAATGATACATATATTATGCATAGTTACATTTTTTGTTACACATTGATAAAAACCGTTAATGTATAATGGAAACCGTTAGTTTTAATAATATAAATAACGAAAATCACCAGATTTAATGGCACAAATAAATGAAACCGTTAGTTTTAATTATACAAATAATAGAAACTGTCAGTGTGTAATGGAATGTGTAATTTTACAGGATGTGTGTATTATTTTCCTTAATGTCTATGTAAAGAAATTTTCTCTTTTCATTTTGTTTAGTGGGACACATTTGGACTAGATACAATGACTTGTGTGCCTCGCCCTCTTAATTTGTTTTCTTTACTGTTCTTGTATGAATGCAAGCCAATGGCATAACAACAATTCACCAATTTCGTGATGATCCAAAATTCGTGAGTTTTTCTAATAAAACTACCAACAGCCATGAAACTTGCTTGTCTTAGAAGCATTTACTTTTGTCATTTTTTAGGAAAGCCTCTTATATGCAGAAATTAAACCCCGAATTCTAAAGTTATAAGATCTCAGTATTTACCAGTGGATTAAAAAGACATCATTAACCTCTTTCATTATTTTTATATACAAATAAGATATATGATTAATTAAGACTCTGTTTAGTATTGTAATTTTAAATTTTAAGTTTTAAAATTTAAACAATTAAAATTAGTAACTAAAAACTAAAATTAAAAATTAAATTGCTAATTTATTAAGTATAAAATTTTAAAACAAATATCTAAAACTCTAAATTATATTAATTCATAAAACTACTTAATTTTATTTTAGGGTTTTTAAATTTTTAAAAACTAAAATGAAAATTTTTTAACTATAATCATACTAAATAAAGTCTAATTAAACGATTTTGACAAAATAGTCATGACCTCTGACTATAAGATAAAATGTGTTTAATTTAAAATCAATTGATAATAAATAGATTTATATACAAAAATCTTCTTTTTAATTGATCAGTGTGAATTTTTTTTT